TCACCTCCCTGGCCAGGAGTGGAACTCGTGCTGCAGTGACTGCAGATAGCTTCATGGTGCTACACTTTAACCCACTGTGCCACCAGGGAGGGCCCGGAAGACCTAATCTTATGGCAAACTTAAATCCACATATCTTGCCTGCTGTGCCTTTCCCTTTGTCTACTTTCACCTCCCTTTCTCCTTCTAAAGGAAGCAGTTAAGAAAGTGGAGGCAGCATGCAGGCCAGTTACTCAGACCTGCTGGGTCCCTCCCATGTATGTAGGAGGTATATATGTTATTATTAAACTTCTTTTGTATTTTTTCTCTTTATCAATCTGTCTGATGCTTCTTTGATTATTTGCCAGCCTAGAAGAACCCTGAGGGGATACAGGATGATTTCCTTTGTACCCCAACAAACCCAAAGCTATCACTTAAAGCCTTTATTTTTACTTTGTATGGATACTATTTTAGAATTAAACTGGTACTGCCAGACGGTTGTAGCCCTTACAGCCTGGTATTTATCACTTTGTCTAGAATAGTGTGCCCACCCTGTCCGAGTGGTTAGTGGTCTGAGGGATATGCTCTAGTCCTCAGTAATAAGAGATGGCACTGAAATGTCTCAGTAGGAAAGCAAGGAGCTGGGCCTTTTCTTTGCATTATGAAGGGAATCTGCCTTCTTTTTTCCTCTTATGTGGCCTTCTACCACCAGTGTTGCAATCGCCCGACTGAATTTGGTATCTTACCTGCTCCATCAATCTAGCATCTTATGTGCCAGAATTTGGGTGAGCATGTACTTGAACTGACCAGTGAACAACTGGAAGGGGAGGGATCGCTTTTTAAGTAAACTTATAAGTGACACACATACAGAAGAGGCACAAGTCATAGCAGCACAAGATACTGTCTTATCTTGGACAATAAAACAGCAGCACCCAGTGAATCTTCCATTCTAGTCATTGCCACTCTTGGTGCCTCTGTTCTAACTTCTGTCACCACGGATTTCTGCATAAGTGGAATCAGTTAGATATCTTCACTCATTGGTGCATGTTATTCTGTTTGCCTACCATTGGCAGGCATTTGGGTTATTTCTAGGGGATCATTTCAAGGACTGAGAATTTTGAAAAAAAGTACCCAGATAAGAGACTGTTTAGCTTCATATGGTACTGCATCAGTCACAGCTGGACTTTTGCTATAATCAGGCACCTGCCATATACCAGGCACCTTCCTAACTGCTGCATGTTTACTCAGTTCAACAAGATTTTTAAATTTATATATATTTTACATCATTCTTCATTTTTGTACAAAGTATGCTTTCTCCTCTCAGGTGCAGTCCCTGAAAATTCACACCACCAATTCACCTGTACACTATCGCCATAGTCCCTTATGCTTTTCCCTCCCCCATTTGACCCCTCTCCTTCCCCCTACCCTGCAGAATGTCTCCAATTTATAGTTGCCTGTTAATTTTGATTTTTTATTTATTGTAATTATTTTTTTCCTGGTTCCTTATTTGGATATTTTCACAGGCCTCCCTCGTGGTGCAAGGGGTTAAGTCTCAGAACTATGAAACTATCAACAGCCACTGCAGCTTTAGTTTGATCCCCAGTAAGGGAGCTGACCCCATGGAACAGCAGACCTCTCTTACTGCTACCCTCAGTAGTATAGATCTGCCTGTTCTGGTTCCTCCTTTGTCTCTGGTGAATCCTCTCACACCACCCTCCACATCTCTGGCCTGTATCTCCACTCTTTTATGCATACCTAAATCTTTAAGAATGGGTTTCTTTGCATCCAGAACTAGAGAACTTGGCCCCGAGGTTTTTTTAATCATGTAAATTTTAATCATATGGGAATTGCTGGATGAATTTTAATCATTTTGCATTCCTAGACTTTAATATTTGTTTGTTTCTTTTAAAAAAGATTTTATTTATGCATACAGAAATGGGGTACAGGCCAGAGGTGCAGAGCAGGACAGGCAGATTGACAAAGTACACTGCCAAGGGGAGCAGCGGGAGAGACAGGAGAGGTGAGCCACACCATGTGGATCACCTCCAAGGCAGGGACTGAACTTGCACTGAAGTGGCTTAGTTTCGCAGTGCAGCGCTACAACCTGCTGCACCACTGGGGAGGGCCCTCTAGACTTTAATATTTAGCACAGTGGCACCGGACCACAGTGCTACTGTTAGTAAGCCCTCACCAACTGATTAACTGTCCTCAAATCATTTATGATTAATGTATTAGTCTCCTATTGCTCTGTGAAAATTAACACACACTTGGTGACTTAAAACAACAGATCAAGGTTAATACAGGAGCATTACCAGTTGTTGACAATTAGAACCTTGGAGAGTTCCATGAATAAGCATGTCCAAACTAGCAGTTGGACAGCGCCAGGGGTTCCCTATTTTCTGCTTTATGTATTAACAAAATTTATTTATGTATGCATACAAGAGCTGGGGTACAGGCTAGAGATGCAGGGGGTAAGAGGATTTACCAGAGATAGAGTGGGGAGCAGATCGGGCAGATCTTCTGATACACTGCTGAGGGGAGCAGCAGGTGAGACGAGAGGTCTGCGGGCCTTGTGGGTCACTTCCCTTGCCAGTCATTGAACTTGTGGCTTTAGTGACTATAGAGAGCCTCATAGAGCTGTGCTTTAATCCTTTGTGCCACCAGGAGGGCCCAACCTATTTTCTGCTTTAATTTTGTCCATGATCAGCATCATAAACATGTTACTAATTTCCTGAGTCTTTTGACTCCTGAGTGTCTGGTAACTACAATCCCCTAAAGGCAGTGATGTGTGTGTCTGTGTGTGTGTGTTTTCATTTTATAATAGTTTATTTTTACATATTTTTGTGCATTTTTCCATCTCAGTTGCAATCCCCTTGGGCTTCCCATCACCAATTCACCCATGTGGGCAGTGCTGTTTTTTAGAAACTTTTTTAAGTGACAATATGGGAATTGAGAATCTTCTTGGCATAAAATATCAGCCTCAAAACTGTTCATTGGATTCCTTTGGGAGCTCTGTGAATTTGAGAATCAGTACCACTGTCTTTTTCTGTCAGGAGAAAATACCTGATACCTTACCCAACTATATAGAGAATACTACTCAGGGTTCTTCCTAGGTACATACCAGAAGCAGGCTACTAGTCAAAAAAGTGTGAGAAAAAGGATATGTTGTATTTACCTGGAGACAGGCAACTGGATTTATATCCTCTCCCAGCTTGCCACCATTCCAACTGTTAACCTTTTTTTTTTTTTTTTTTTTTCAGAAATAATGTATTGGGTATGCTTTCATTGTGGCAAAACTTTAGCAAGTTTTGGTGGAGTCAGGCAAACAAAAAGAGGCGTTGCAACCTCTTTCCCCTGTTAACAGTGATGTCATTATTACAAACTTATGCAATAAATATCTCTACCTTTATGACAAATGGAGAAAGAGATTGGGGCCCACAATTAAGATGAAGGAGGAAAGAAGTTGTTAATCGAGCAAGTAATGAATGCAGGTCCTATTGTATGTACTTTGAGTAAAACTGCACAATGGTATTAGAACACCTCTGTATTACATCATTTTTCAGATGAATGGGGTTTCAGAAAAGCTAACTGATAACCAATGTCTGACAACTCATCAGTGGAGGAGCCAAGATATGCCCCCCCGACTTAATTCCCTGTTTTATACTGCTTCAGAAGTCAATTGGTAAGTGATTTTAGACTTACTAACTAGATAGCACTAAATTCTTGTCACTCTGGCCACCTATGCCTAATTTAGCAGTGGTAGACCTGAATGGTTGAAGTCTTATGTGAGGTCCATGCTCTCCTGTGAATTGAGTGTTTAAAATATTGCTGTAAGTTATATCTTATCCTAAATTTCTAGATACCACTGTATAGTATTTACATTGCCTGAAATAAACCCTGCCTAATATTTTGTCTTAATGTAGTTGCTATAAGCTATTAGTATAGCTAAGCCATTTTTCATTTTGCTTAATACTTACCTGACATATTTATAAAAAGTTTTATTTATTTATGCATACAGAAATGGGGGCCAGAGGTGCAGGGGTGGTGAGAGGATTCACCAGAGACAGAGTGGGGAGCAGAACAGGCAGATCGACAAAGTATACTGCTGAGGGGAGCAGCGGGTGGGACAGGAGAGGTCTGCTGCGCCATGTAGGTCACCTCTAGGGTGGGGATCGAACTCGTACTGAAGCAGCCCTAGCTTGGCTTAGCTTCGCAGTGCAGCTCTCCAGCCTGCTGAAAACCAGGGAAGGCCCTGGGATATCTTTTTTTTTTTAAAAACAATAGTTTATTTTTACATCATTTTGTGCCTTTTTCCATCTCAGTTGTAATCCCCGTGGACTTACCATCACCAAATCACCCGTGTGCCTGGCATATCTTTTTTAACCCATTCATTAATTTCCAATTCTTTTGCAAAAAAAAAAAAAAAGACATTTTCACAGATTTGTATTTTCATTTATTTTTAATTATAATTATTTTCCTTTAACTACTCTTTTCTTACACTTAAGATATAACATTATTTTAATATGTCGGTTATTTTTATTTCCTATGATCCTCTAAGCCATTATTGATTGAGCTTCAGGACTGGAGAATGAAATGTCATTACATACTTGTTACCAAATGGGAGCTTTGGGTCCGACAGCGTGTGAGCCACCGTTTCCTCCCTGCGACTCCCAAATCCGGTTGCACCTGCAGTTGTGTTTAGCTCCAGCTCCTTGGTGCAGTCCCCGAGCTGGGCCTAGCGCCCGCTCTTCTGCTCATCTGCCCTAGTTCACCTCTGCTGTAGCAGATGAGACGACCCAGCAGCGCCTAATAGTTAAGCTTCGCGCGCACCTCTTTGGCCGCAGGGGGCGGAGCTAGAGTACCACCGAGGGAGAGTGACGCGGCCCCTAGAGCGGCTTGGCTGGGCCTGGTGACGCATTTCCGGCCGCGCCGCGGAACCGCCCCCAGCGTAGGTGAGTATCAGTCTCTGGCCGGCCGGGCTGCGTACTGGCCTCCCAGCGCTGGGTGCAGTTGGGACGCGCCGCCCCCCTGGGTGGAGCTGGGTCACCCGCATCTACGGGAAGGGTCGGGCCTGCGGCTGCTGGCCCTCTTTCCCTTCTCGTGTCACGCTTTGCCTGGTGGCCGAATATCTTCCATTCCGTGGAAGGCAAAACACTAGTTACTGTCACCACCACGACTCCGAGAGCTTTTATAGCTTGATCTGTTCGGAAAAGAAGCTACTGGGCTTTTGGGAAGATGTGTTGGAGCAGCCGGAGGTGGAATGTACGCAGGGATCGAGCAGCTTGAGGTGATACACGAGTCTTTTGACGTGATGAGATCGTGTAGGAGCTTTTACCTAGTTTGGACTGTGCTCCCTGGCTCTTGACATTAGGTCGTGAGTCAGCGTGTACTGGGAGCGCAGAAAAGGCAGAGCCCCTCCCAGCGCCCCGGGAACCCAGAAACCTGAGCGGTGTCTGTACCAGAAGATGACAGCCACACTTTGGACTGGGATGACAGTGACCTGGGATGCTTTCTACGATTTATTTGTTGATTCTCTCAGTCCTAGAATAAACATAGAATAGTTCAAGAATTGCTAATTCGTATCCACCTGAAATGCGAATTCACCAACTACAGGACAATATTTGGGTAGAGGTCTTTTCGACATTAGTCTTAGTCATAATACTGTTTCCTAAAATTACTCTTCTTTTCCAGTTCTGCAGTATGGCTTGGTTAAGCAGTCGTCTAGTTAGGCTCATGTGCTCTTTGGATTCCTTTTTGAGTTGTCAGCCCCACCTTTTCCTGATTGGTTAATTTTCTCTGCGTGCGTGTGTGTGTGTGTGTGTGTGTGTACTATTTTCATTTGGATATGCGCAACATTACTGTGGATTGGAAAGCCAGAAAAAGATGTTAATCTCACTCACCCGGTCAGCCTGTTTTCTTCCGACTTATTTCTTGTTCTGGGTTCCTTTCACCCTGTTTAAGGGGGCAAGAATTCTCCTTAATTTTTGGTTTATCCTTTGTGCACAAATGACCGGGTATACATAAATTTTTGCAAACTGTTTTTTTTTTTTTTTTGTACCAGAGGTAGCATACTGCCT